TCTATTTGTTAAATATGTCTTAAGGTGAAAAAATGTTATGCTAATGACAAATGAGCCGAGGCCATTTTAGAGAATGGTTAAGATAAGGACAGCATTGTTTTTTAATAATGTCCTGCTAAACTTGACGATTCGTCGAATAGAGGTTTCAAAAAAGACAAACACGAAGTTTGCAGTACGTCTACAAATTGGAAGTAGTCAGGCAAACACTTGATGATAGCTATCGAAATTGAATAGTTACAACCGACTTTAATAAACATCTTGACTATAAACGATAAAATCATGTTACGACTTATAAAAGCAAAGTGTTGAACAAAGATGGCTTACGCATTAGCTCTAGATTCCTTCAACGACCCCTCCACCCAAAGTTCCTGATTGACACATAGTGGCTATTAATACTAAGACTTAAACGAATACAAAAGTCATTACAGTCGGTTCGGGTCCTTGGCATGATAACAGCACCTGTGATCTGATATCAAGYKCCAGAACAGGAAAATTATTTAGTCTCGCCWGTGATTTMGTCATACTAAGCCCAGAATACGACAATGATATCTCACCGTTTGATTGTTGAATTGTTATTAAGATCCACGTGACTGGCGGCAGAAGTGCTTGATATCGTCGATGACAGCGAGTCTGTTTCTGTAGGAATCTAATTAGAGCGAATCTTAATAAGTTGAGCAATATGCCATGAGCATGCGCTCTTGCGCGACTAAAATAATTTGACGTCATGCAGATGAACGACGCCCTATGCATCTTAAAATTAAAATCAGTAAAAACTGTTCTATCAACTTGATATGACGAGYAGACCTCCTTTGTTGTATTACAATCAATTATTGGGAATAACAAGACTTTGCATAACATCATTTACTTTAAAGTGATTGAAACAACGTTAATACAAACACCCATTGAACCCTTCCCTGTCACAAACACAAGATGGCCACTGATGGCAGACTGTATTTATCGCTACTTAGGTCTCTTATTGAAACGTCATATACCAGATGACTGTCAGTAAGGTAAAATGCCCCTATGGCTATGAAGCATTAATAAAGAGTATTAAGGTACAAGGTAATTAGAAGGATTTATACTGTATAGTAACATAAAAATTGTCGCACGAACGTCATTAATTAGAACCGAAATATACATTACTTCTATTAGCGATGGTGAGAGGATGGAGGTATTGAAGAAATCTAATGTTAGTGAAGAAAAAGTAGGATTTATCAACGTAAAACTTGTGTACGTACACGTCGATAAAAAAAGTGCATCACTGAGTGTTCATTTGAGGTTTAACTGTGATTTTATGTCGTATATAAAGGCGTCTTACCGGAATATTCATAGTCCTCGCTCGACCATTCACGACCAATGGTGATCTGGAATCCTCACCTTCAATCATCATGCTGTARTGCTTRTCAATGAAACACATTTCATCGTACTTAACGGTCAGCGGTATTGTCATGTCGGTAGGACAGCTCCTCCTCTTCTTGGTCCGGTCCTCTTCCTCTTTCTTTGACCTCCATTTGATGTACTTGAGATAGTTCTTTCTTTCCCATGGTTTCTGTAGGAAATAGTATTTCCAGTCATACACACTTATGTCTTAGTCACTTACWATCAAAATACATCGTAGAGTAACCTCCAAAAGAACATATATTCGATTATTGATTCATTTTGCTGTTCATTGTGAAACGTTTATCATATGCAGCTTAACTTTGCGACAACTTTGTGTTGCACACAATATTGCAAAGCACACCATGCCAAAGTACAAGAAATAAAATCTCATATAGTTGATGACTAATTCAAAGCCGTTTGATCATTAAGACTTTTGAGCTTTTGTGGCATTGAATAGTGGATGGTGTTAGGGGCGGGGAGACCTGGYAACGAGCCTCATAACGGCTGCGAGAGGAGACTTGGCACTGTGAATGATCTGTCGAACAGAACCCAGTGGCATTATATTCAAGAAAAATGTCACTATTGATTGCATTATTTCGAGAACCATCCCCCATCAGGGTTTATTCTAATCAGCTCTCATTAAGATATATTTTATCTGATGTACCAGTTGTCAGATAACAAAACGAAAAGGAACTGGGATGGAGTTTATAACGCATTTCTTTGGAATTCTGGCAGAGCTTTGAATGTTCACAACTTTGTTGCCATGGATCATCAAAATTCATGAAACCTAGACACTAAGTCTTTTGTATTCTGTTCTTTTTAGAGTTTAGGGCCCCTTGTTCGCTTTTTATCGACAAATACCAGTCAAGCCCCGACTCATCTCCATCTCTCCAGTCAATGTAACCGCATCTAGTTATCATTATTTCATCATATTACCATGTATGACTTAAAAATAAATAAATGCAATTAGTACAACATCATTTGTCTTCTATTGTTTAATTCAAGTGTAATATATAATTTGAAAAAAAGAGTTTTTCAACGTCTATTGTTTAATTCAAGTGTAATATACAATTTGAAAAAAGAGTTTTTCAACGTCTAAAACGATAAAAATTTGAAATATACTCAAATACTAGCTATTCAGTAACTGCTAAGCAGCTTTGAACTAAATTCAAGTGACGTCTAAATATTGCATTAACTATCGCTAAAGAGAAAACAGTTTTAGCTTCACCATGGTAACCACTTTGACTTTTTTCTTGACTGTTTAAAAACAGTTGCTTGCAGCTCAACAACGAAGAAAGATAAAAGAAAAAAACACTAGAACCAACATTAGGCCACTGTTACCTGMAAAATGACAAATGAAGACATTAACAATTCTGTCATGTTTMCTGTCATAACATTTCTTTGTAATGASAACGTGACTAGCCAATCAGTACGAAAGTGGTAAGTGTTAGTCAATGATTGGTTTGAATGAACCTTCAATACGTTATAGCACTGTAAATACGTCATTATATCWTATAAAAACTTGAAATTCAAAATAAAATCATCGATAGCTCTGATAGTGATCCAAGTTGAATACCATTAACCATAGAGTCGTTTTTATTTGACCGTGAAAGATTCTCATTGTTTTRATTTGTTCTTTGCGTACAAATACAATAGTTAATAACTATACAAATACTAACTAAAACGTCATTTACACGGTCAAATGAAAACCAACAGCAATTGCCTGATTTTAGTGATAATGATGATACAGATACGACAGATAGCAATGATGATAATTATCGATGTTTTGAATTCTACTTACTCGTATTCAGATTACCAGTCGAGCGATGAAATAACTCCAATGTAATATTCTTGACATACTTGTGTTTGCTTGTAGTCACATTSARATGAAACCCATGAAGTGTTGCTGTATGATAATCCCCATTTCTGATCCAATCATCGCTGCCTACTGCCGGCTTCCAYCCCATGTTCAACACGGCAGCGACGTTGTATTGGCRGTGYCCAACAGGCTTCTTCGAGGTTATATTATAGAACAATGGAGTACCGTTCTTATAACCGCTTATATCCACRAACGTATCTGCAAGTGTGATGCTGGCTTTGTCAGCTACCCGTGCGTCAACCAACTGAACTTTGAGATTAGAGTTTGGAGGAATATMGTGCGGTGGCCGCTCGAAGGAAATGTAGCCTGAGATTTCGATAWTTTCGCTATTGCTTCGTCGATTTCGATGCCTTTTRACTATAGTTTGCCCAAGATTTACATGAATGGACAATGAAAGGATAGAAACAAGAATTATTGAATATAAAAAAACTGATCTGTTCATGTTGGATCCTCGTCAGTGGATAATAGTTGTGACGAATGAAAAGTACTCTTGGCGGCCTTGCTTACTCAGCCGACCTGCGCTTCTAATAACAAGTCAAACAAAGAATAAAAGAGCGAAAATAGGTCATTAACAACCTAGCAAAGCTATTAAAAAACAGACTCTATTAAAGTACTCTATGGAAACCGAGCGCTTGTGTAAATATTCAGAGCAATTGAGCTGGCCCACTCCCCTCCCCCTAAAGATTACCTTCGGCACAGGGTTCCCAGGGACAGGAATAGGGATGAAAAGGGCTGAGGTCGAGCTTGCGTTCAGAGATGTGACACTGTCGTACAGACAGCGGGAAATGTTGGCACTCTTTGGTCGTTGCTTCTTTGCGTTCTGCCAAAAAAGAAAAAGAAAAGATTGATCATCTCAGCAGATGGCAAAAAGGAATTTTGAAAAACAACTGATAGTTTGCAACAAATGCTTTTTGTTGTTGCTGTCAGTTTGTTTGTTTGTGTCAAATGGTTAACAAAATATTTCACTATATTTGACTAGACNCCTGGGCAGACTACTAGACTAGACATAGATGTACCCTGGGCAGACTACTAGACTAGACATAGATGTACCCTGGGCAGACTACTAGACTAGACATAGATGTACCCTGGGTAGACTACTAGACTAGACATAGATGTACCCTGGGCAGACTACTAGACTAGACATAGATGTACCCTGGGCAGACTACTAGACTAGACATAGATGTACCCTGGGCAGACTACTAGACTAGACATAGATGTACCCTGGGCAGACTACTAGACTAGACATAGATGTACCCTGGGCAGACTACTAGACTAGACATAGATGTACCCTGGGCAGACTACTAGACTAGACATAGATGTACCCTGGGCAGACTACTAGACTAGACATAGATGTACCCTGGGCAGACTACTAGACTAGACATAGATGTACCCTGGGCAGACTACTAGACTAGACATAGATGTACCCTGGGCAGACTACTAGACTAGACATAGATGTACCCTGGGCAGACTACTAGACTAGACATAGATGTACCCTGGGCAGACTATTGCTTGGTATCATGGAAGAGATGTTCCTGTGGCCGCACCGGATCGCAACGTCACGAGCTGTCTCCCCAACCTAATAAGGAAAGGAATGGCCAGCGTTAAGTATAGCAAGATGATTACATTATCCCACGGTCACGTGATATGTATCATCGAATCCACTGCTCTCGACTTACGTTGTTTTTAACAGCTATAAGATTTCCGCTGTCCACAATTATTGCAGCCACCACCTCGTGACCAATTCGAGCTGCGATGTGCAGAGGTGTATCACCGACCTGTCAGTCATACAAACACAATCAATCAATTTAGATYTACACATGGTACTATGGATGTTGGTTTATTCATGAGAATAGTTATCACAAGGCAGTCAATTGTATTGAACAACTAATTTACGATGCCTACATTTTGTCAAAGCTGTTATGGTAATTTGTTGGTATCATTTCAGTGCTAGTGACAGTGTGTGATATATTGCGTGACATAGCTTACGTTATTCTGTAGGTTCTGTAGGGATTTGTTGGCTCCTGCTGTAACCAGTAGTCTACAGACGTCATGATGGCCATAGCGAGAAGAAAGATGCAAAGGTGTATCACCATACTAAAAAAACAACTTTTTATCATAAGTACTTCACCACAAATGTCCTTCTCTGTTATAATCCCGTCACAAACAGACTTTAGAACAATCTATTTTACAACCAATCACAACGCGCGCACATACAGGGGACCTTCAGAGACGATAAAACAAAATGTTGACGATGGAGGCGAACAACGTGATATTTGCGACAAGAAAAAAAGAAGATTTTACTGAGTAAAATTTACAAACAAATTAACCTGAAGATTCACCTCAGTAAGCTTTACAATTTCTATTGGAGATATTTAAAAGTCGAAAATACTTGCACAGTTTTGTTTTGTTGTTTCTGGAAGTAGGACCAACATGGATTTTACGGTGCCGTGTTATATGTGCGCGAGTTGTGACTGATTGTGTAAAAATAAATTATCCGCTCATTATGTGGTGACGGGGAGGGGTTACGGGGGGGGGGTACTTTAGCGAAGGACACTTCTGAATGTGTACCTCTTTTTTGCATATATTATCTCTTGCCCTTCCTCTGCAACAAATTACTGATTTACTATCTGAATTCTTTTGATAACTGGGAAATTTGCTCTCCTCGTATTGACTATTCTTAAACTTRCAGTACAAGCTGGTATAGCCTCGTTCGTATGATAGAAAATGTTGAGAATAGCTAATAAACATGACATATACATTCGAGGATTGCACTGGAATTTTGAGAATATTACATAAACCTTTAGTTGTCAAACATCTCCAACTGGATTATTCCCAACATTCAAATATTGCAGTCACAATAGCGGAAATGTTGTASTGTGTCTCTGTTTTGCTGAATGCGTATTTAAAAACAAACGGTAGGTTTGTTAATTTTGCTGATGTGCTCTAACAAATCTAGTTGAAACTGTGTTTTATCTTGAGTGCTCTAATATTTACCCCCCCCCCCTCCGAGCTGTGAAAATTATTGTTTTAGTAACCAAAAAAATATTTTCGACAAAAGAATCAGGAGAAAATAATCGGGCAGTTTTGTATCAATGAGCACATCACTTGACATCATCAAATTAGCATAATAGTTTTTAAAATGCAATGTTCTCTGAAACATAGAAGGCTGTATCCAGTGTATCTACTTTTCCAAGCTATTATTCTCTTCATATTAAATCTATTTTCTAAATAAGATATCCCATTCACAAGTACGTTGGATATCTAAAATATCCTACTTACATTATTCTTGGCCAATGAGTACGCATTGCTGTCAAGAAGGGTCTGTACTGTAGAACTGTGACCATTTTGAGCAGCCAGATGCAACGCTGTAAAGCCAGACTTCACAGAACAATGACAATGTCAATTACTGATCATTACAAGAGCGCGCGCAAGGGTTTCTCAGGGGATGGGAGCTTGATTCCATTTTTGTTTTTCGATCTTCAAGATGCGAGGAAGGCGATTAATGAATGCAAAATCACGCGAGTAGTGTGATTGTTGTACTATCCATTGCCAAAAATGTGCTACGCTTTTGATTTGGAAAGTAGAGTCTCATACTTCGTCTGTCAAGGAAGGAGGGCGCACCGGAACACCTGGAACTATCCCCCGCGCACGCCCCCTGCATCAGGCATTCGTTTGTGTTAACTTGGGAGACTATGTTTTGTGTTTCAATGATTCATGAATTCGGTTACCAACCCATCATCTAATGATCTATTGGCCTTTTCTAGAAAGAAATGGAAAAATATCCCACACCAGAACCGCCGTCAAACTTTTGCGTATGTACAAGCCAACTGTCATAGCTTTTGCTCGATAAAAAACGAGCAGGAGACTGGGATTGGATCCATTCCTTGTTTCTTTTTGTTATCGGCAAATGAATTTATTGATAGTCCTAATGACTGCCATACCTTGTTATAGATATTGACATTAGCCTTAGCGTCTATCAGGATTCGTACGCAGTTAATATATCCATTCCAKGATGCTTCGTGTAAGGCAGTGTTTCCGTTCTGAAAATGAGCAACATAAACTCGCTAAGAATCTCAGTGCGCCTTTTTGGAAAGCGGATATGCAAAACGGGTTTGCGATCTTCAAACAGAACTGGTGTAACTTGAAAAAGCAAATGATCGACGACTTGTCATTGGTGTCAACTTTAAATAAGCTGCCAAAGAAACAGTTACAAGTGGTACATGACACATAATGGTCCCCCCGGGCTATATAGTGCCCCAATGTGACAGCCATCATCAGCTGGCCTCATGAATTATTCAGGAGTTCTGGACAACGCTTACAATTTTCATACCGCGCTAACAATGTACAAAGGTTATGTCTAGCGTGATTATGTACTTAGRTATMTACCTCATCTTGATTGTCTAAGAGACAGCCCGCCTGTATCAGTGCCATCACTATGAGAGGATGACCATCGCATACTGCACGATGAAGACAAGTAAGACCATCCTACAATGTGATAAGTGTTATAGTTAGTTTAGAAAAGTCATCACGGAAGAGGGAGGGTAACTCCAATATGTACAAAGTGCAAGGTGCATGGTTTCATGCAGTTGCTGAGGCTTACTAAGCCTGAAGTTGAGCCTCAACAAAATAAATTATATTAAGTTGATTTAAAATCTAGAACAAAGATTCATGTAATTTCTTAAAAAACATGGAGATAGATGAGCGGACCTTCAGCTTTTCTGGAGGGGGGTTGCACGTGCACCCAGTGCACCCCCTGGCTACAGGCCTGGATTTGGATTGAAAAGGATGTGCGAATGAACAGAAACTGTTCTCTCTATAACATAGATAGTAAAATAGAGGCGGAATATAGGTCATGACAGCGAAGTGTGAACTTTGACTTCCTCTTCCGGCACRGAAACTGATTCGATAGTGTAGCAATGATGCGCATGCTAACGTTTTTCATGAATGAATTTGTATAACGGAGGCAAAGTCCCAATTCCACCTACCTCGTCATGTGCATTAACATCAGCTCCTGCTGTAATCAATGATTTWATACACGGTAACTTGTTGTTTATGACGGCATAGTGAAGTGCTGTGCGATCAGCCTGCAGAAAGAACATGAAGAGTCACCCTAGATGGCTAACCTTACGGATAGATACTAATGTCTTGTATAACACAATTAGTTATACTACAGTGAAACCCCTCTATACCGGACACGGCTGGGACCGATGAAAAATTCCGGTTTAGAGGGGGTTCCGGTATACTGAGGTTTTTAAAATATACTACAAGGCAGCCTATTTTAGGAGCTTCCTGTGTTTAGAGTTGATTGACGGTTGTGGCTGCTAAAGGAAGCTAGTCACAAGGTCCAAATTTCCAATATAATCTTTCATTTGAAAAGACCATAAAATTTAGAAATATTKACAAGCTAAYACTTACAGAGTCGAGACGCGCGTCAACATCTACACCAAGCGCAACAAGTCTTGATATTTCAGCGGGTTTGTTAAACTTGACTGCAATGAGGAACTGATCAGCAGCATCATGCGATTTGAACATCACGGAGCAAAACACAATTGTGCCCTCCCCTTCACAGGATGGCTGAATGGATTTCGATGAACTGAAAAGCAGATTTATATATCCACATATACGCGTGCTGCATAACACAACTGTATCAAGTTATCGCTTGACAATAGAATGAGATTTCCTTTCTCTGGCGCCAACTGTAATCTACCTGACTCATTGTCAGTAAATGATACCCATAATGCAGGCCGTACTGAAATATCAACAATAAACATCAAAAGGACGCAAATRATAAAACAACAAATAAAAAATCGACCTTTATCGGCTTCCTTGGTCTGTGACATCGACAGTCACAGTTTAACTTACAGAAACGAATTGAAAAAAAAACTTTTATAAAAAAAAGTCAAGAAAAAGAAAATGCATATTATACCCAGAATGCAATATTATCAGTTGTTTTTTTTATCAGAAAAACATCAGTCGTGGGCCGTTTAGTGGTTGATATATATTAAAGATTCAAGCTCCTTTGGAATGGAAAGGTTATGCCAATTGTCATTCAGGTCTTGGAATGTTATCGTACTGTGCTGTGAAGTATGTATGTAAATAAAACAAAGCCTCTCTACATGACTGACTATGCTTTACTAAAGTAGGGAAAAAATATCAAACAGGGAGACTAACAATTAATGCATCAAGGAAGATATCTCCTTGCGCWTAAACTATGCCGATTGCGAAGTTCATGWTTCGAAGCGAATCAGATTTTAGCCGTTRGGCTCACTTTGTCCAATCGCAAAATCTGTTTAATGAAAAGATCTAGCATCAACTTTAAGAATTATATCCATATAATTGGCCAATCAAATAGCTTAGCTGAATTACCGATATTATACTGATAGTRTATTTGATGCATTATTTAGAGTCTAATTGAATCATGTCTGACCTTTACAAATAGACCATCGTTCAGTTTAATGATCTTTCCATACGTGGAACAAACCGAGAAAATCCGTCGCTTTACTTCAAGTCAGTCTATGGTCTTCCATGTCCTTCGTCAGGTTGGTTTTCTTGACTTATTTCTCTGATTCTTGTGTGATAATGATYGCGTTACATCCCAAATGTCGTGACAAGAATGGTGAATGTACATCAAGAACAATAGGCCATTACCATATTTGGACAATCACCAATTGACGTGAACAAACTACACTGTTAAACAGAGGGACATTCAAGAGTTCTGAAAACAAGGGAGCTAYATGCGAAATTTAAATGATTGTATTCAATTATGGTACTGAACCCAAGTAATGTCTACAGTGAGCGAGGATCTTCAAGTTTCAACCGAACAGTGAGCTAAGCGCGATACGGGATGTTCTGGATACTTCCCACAAACCTGCGTGCTGCGTGCTGCGCGCACCAAACCGATCGAGYTCAGGGACAGAGGAAATTTGAGCAGGTCGCTTGAAATCTCGTTTCAAACACTTTAAAATCTTAGTTTATTTTCTTATATTGTCGCATTTATACTGTGGAAAAGGCGAATGCTGTTTCAACCAAGATTCAACCAAGAGTTTCCAGAGTAATTTTTTCATAACTGTGTGACCCTCCCAAGTAATTCTAAAACTAAACTTTTGACCCTCCCATCAAAAGTTCCAAAAATACTGATGACCCTCCCCCACCCCACATTCACAAGTCTCGGGCTATACCAAAGTTTGCGGAAAACGCACGCTATTATTCCCACCAATGGGATGGGCAAAGAAAGCCACCTAAAGGTTTGATTAAAAAAGAGTTCACACAGATCGGTGCTGAGTTTTCCCATATTTTTTCAGCATTTCCATTAATCTTTTTCTTGTTGTCGATACTGATCAAAGCGAAAAGTCATCCTGTTTTCCTTCTTTTCTTTTTCCAGGAGCCATGCAATTTCCTTTTTATCTTTCGCAAATCGATTTCCCGGACGTGCAAACGTGTAGTAGAAGCTATGACAAAATTATGAACGCATGTCACTATGATAAACACGATATAGAAATAAAAGAAAGTTATATATGACAAAATTGACCGAATTCTCTGTGCTTTTATTTCACTCTCCTGAGGTTTTTGTCATGTGATTGGTTTTCTAATATTACCAATTTCGAAGATAAATGTTTGAGGCAAAATTTRGACGTTTCTGACAAATATTTTMCTAGCTTATTTTTACTAAGAATATGGGTTTCCTTTGCTGGTACATAGACGRAAGAAGTACGMAAGTACGCATTGGCATGTGAAGGGAACGTGCGTACTCACTGGAACCCTATACAGTATGTCGGTCCATGAAAAATCTCAATGGTATAACATTTTTTCTTAGCTAAAACCTAAAAACTAGGATGGACCCTCCCCTAGATAAGATTTCMAGTGAAGATGTGACCCTCCCTAGTCTCCTTTCGCATCCGTTTTCGCTTCGGGCTTCCTGTGGCTAAAACGGATGCGAAAGGAGACTAGACCCTCCCCTAAAGCTTGCAAAAATGATATATGACCCACCCCTCTCCCAAAAAATAAAAAAAGTTTTAACAAAAATTTTCCTTACCACCCCCTCCCCTATTAACGTTTTCCCATAGTTCTTTTCGTTCGATGTGGTATCGGTTATCAGCTGTCTCTTTGCTTCGACAACAAGGAAGGCTTTTAGTTTACAAGTATATTATTTTAGACTATGAATACTTGTCATGTTCATGTAATTACCGTGACTTCAAAACCACATCCATTYYAAAAATTCTAGGGGACTTGGAAACAACTTTTTTCACMTGACATCGAGGATGTATTTGCATCAACTGATAGACCAACAACCGACATGTCAGAAGATGTTGATTTGCCTTATTGCTATGTGGATAATTGGTGAAGTTCGTATGTTAGAAAATGGCATGGCTCGAACACCTCCAATGGGCTGGATGGCTTGGGAAAGATTTCGTTGTAATATAGATTGCAAACTAGATCCAACGGARTGTATACAAGAGACATTGTTCATGGAAATGGCGGACGAAATGATGTGTGGAGGATATCTTGAAGCAGGGTATAACCACGTGTGTATCGACGATTGTTGGATGGCTAAATCAAGAGGTCCTAACGGACAACTACTAGCAGATCCTCAAAGATTCCCTAAAGGTATCAAACATCTTGCAGATTATGTACACTCCAAAGGATTGAAGCTTGGCATCTATGCGAACTTTGGTAAATACACATGTCAAGGCTATCCTGGTAGCATGAAATACCTTGAGAAAGACATAGAGACATTTGCTAGTTGGGGTGTAGATTACTTGAAGATGGATGGCTGTTACTCTTATCCACATGAAACCGACCAGGGGTACCCAGAGGCTTCTCGATTACTCAATGCTACTGGACATAAAACTGGACGTAAGATCATGTTTTCCTGTAGCTGGCCTTTTTACCATGTTTTTGCTGGTTTTAAGCCTAATTATGCAGAAGTTGTCAAACACTGCCATTTATGGAGAAATTATTTAGACATTGAAGACAATTGGAACTCAGTCTTTGGAATAATTAAACATTATGGAGACAAACAGGATGAATTGATATCAATAGCAGGGCCAGGGCACTGGAATGACCCAGATCAACTTATCATTGGAAATTTTGGACTAAGTCCAGAACAATCTAAGGCGCAGTTTGCAATATGGGCCATACTTGCTGCGCCTCTCTTCATGTCAAATGATCTTCGTAAGATTGCACCATGGGCAAAAGAAATCCTTCTCAATACTGAAATAATTGCTGTAAACCAAGACAAAATGGGTAAGCAAGGCAGAAGAATTTGGCAAGGAAGTAAAAATTTTGAGAAATACACTGAAATCTGGGCTCGTCATCTGTCTGATGGAAGTGTTGCTGTTGTTATGTTTAACCATCGGTATGATCAGCCAGTATGGATGAAAGCTTTTTTCTCTGTGGTAGGGTTTCCACATCAGCGGGGTAAAGTTAGAGATTTATATGCACATGAAAACAAAGGTGTTTTTGATCGTGTATATATGGCAAAAGTTAACCCTAGTGGTGTAGTGATGGTTAAAATAAGTCAGGCAAGTTAAATTTATTAAGGCAGTAATGAAGGTTTTGAAGGACTCCTTAAAATGACAAGTTCTGACCAATTCATGGCTGTCTTAACGATGACTGTAAACCAGTGCAAATTCTTAGTCAAGTGTATTTACATAGTCAAACTACTAAGTAGTTTATGTCACCTAAATTATTTGATAGCTATTTTACTCATAGTTGAAATTCAGGGAGTCTTATTTACCAGATATGTAAATCAGGCAGGGTCTTTGAAAATGGTCAATACTTAATTCTAGAGTACATCATATTTTGACTAAACATACCAGTCACATCATTTTCCTAAAATCAATAAGCTATGACAGCTTTGATGTAAAAGCAGGTCAATGCAGGTGAAATTGCAAAGTCTCAAGTCTAAACATATTTTTATTTAAAAGTACCTCAAAAAAGGTAGAAAATATTCAATTAAATCCACTACCTTTTTGAAGCTGACTATATATTTTAGTCAAAGTTTCATTGTATTGATCTATAGCTTCTTTCTCTATAGGAAAACTACTTAAATTACTTCAAGGTAGCTGTTAATTTTAAATAGTATATTAAATATTAAAATAAATAAGGAATAATACAAATAGTTTTTTAATATATTGTAAAGTCTATTTATCAGAAAAACTAATTTGAAATAAACAATGTTTCGTTGTTGCCCCACAACAGCATCATCAGGTCTACTGAGATTGAGAAACATTAACAAAGATTAGAGTCAAGTGTAAATGGATGTGCAACAAAGAAACCTAATTATAAAGTGGCAGAAAGAGAAGTTGTGAAATGTGTTTATAGATGAGCTTGGTTGATAATGTTCTTGATCTTGTGTTGGTCAAGTAGTTTATTGATTATATATTAAAAAAGCTTACATGATAGAGTACAAACATTTTGTGTGCAACACTTTCCAGTATTTACTACAAAATAGTGTTAATTAAACAATAGAAAGCAATACAATTAGCATAATTTAGCAGTATMTAGTGGTATTTATGTTGCACAGTTTTAGTGTTTGCACTCTATTGAGCAATGATATTAGATTTTACTAGCAAATTAAAGGTGTGTTAGATAACAATAGCCAGGCCAYTGGATTTCTAGSCTGGCTGRAGAGGATAATTTTATTGTCTTGTTTTGAAATGTGAAATTTTGACAGCAATATAACTGATTATAAAGCTGTAGTAAAATAGTGTTGGGCTCCCTGTGTGAATTTATCCAAGGAAGCCCAAGTCTAAATTGACTTGAAAAACGGAAAGTCCGATAGCCCTCGCGCAGTACTAAATAAAACAATAGAATGYATTAAATGAAAAAGGTGTTAAGAGACAAGCAAATATATACRAAACCTGTTTTTGAAATAACGCACTGTTTGGCTGAATTGTATAAAAACCGTTTTTAAGTCGCTTTCAGCTTGTGATTGAGAACCTTCCAACAATCCCGCACATTTCTAACAGAAAATGGGAAATATCTTCTAATACTTAAATAAAACATGATACAGATACATGAACGTGATACATTCGCAAGGCATTATGGGGTGTCCAAAGGTAAACTTATAATTTCGCGTATTTTCTACGTCTTTGACACATCCATCTTTGTTACATTCAGGGGCGGATTCAGGGGAGGGGGAAAGGGGGAATTCCACCCCCACCACACCCATTGTTTCGCACTTTTAAGTCCGGTACTCTAGATTTCTTATTGTAATGTTAAAAGTTGATTCACGCTGGAAAAATATTGTTAGTTTGAAATTTTGACCAGTAAATTCCCTCCCCCCCCACCCCTCTGGATCCGCCTTTGAAATTTTCACCCGCAAAGTTAATTTGAAGTAAATTTAATATTATTAATTGGCCCTAAAATCCACGTGAAATGTCTATTCATTGTTGTTAACCTGCAAAAATGCCGCCGAAACGTCGAAAGATAAATCAACGAATGCAACATTTTCGTAAACTCAGTCGTGTCTGATACAAGATTGTTACAAAATTCTATAGCGTGCTGTGGAACTTTTCGTGACTCAATACAATTGTCCATAGTCTAATGATAATGAAAC